TTAATTTTTCATAAAAGCTTGAGCTCGATAAATCAAAATAAATAGAGAAAAATTTTATTTTTATTTGTAGAATACAATTTTCATTAAACTTTCTTTACTTTGTGACACCTCACGCATTGTTCTCTACAAGCTCTTTTGACTTCTTGATACGTATTGGAACGAATATCGAGATATCCTCGTACGCAGGGGGTTTATGCGTAGACGAACTATGGAATATTGTCGGCTTATTGAGCGCAGGTGCTTTAAACTGCTCAGCTGTTGCTTCGAATCTCGCGTACATGTACACAAACGTGTGTGTCCGTGCACTGTATTAGTACGTATTCAGGCTCTATACCATGATGCATACGTGCTACTACACAAACGTCTCACTTACGCACTTATACGCAGCGTCAATTGAACTGCATGACGATCGAAGCTTCTAACAGGCCGTACCATTGACGAATGAAGAGCGATTATTTGCGCGCGTGGAGATTACAACAAAAAAGGATTCCATTAAAATATTTCGTGCCGAGTAAATAATTGTAACGACAATAACGAAACATTGTCGCCTCATTATGACTTTGTAATAAAGTCGGTATTAGCGAGCGGCAAATGTATGAAAATAAAATGAAAATGTAAAGATTGGCTATATATATATATGAATATAAAGGCGCAGAAGAATTCTATGTTTCTCATCGAAGCAAGCCAGATGGGCCTGGTCTATGATCGAGCGAGCAATGAGTGGACTATCAATTACTTTTCGTGCCCCCCTTTCTTTCACCGGGTATCGACCGACGACGGTATGTGTCCCCCGGCGAAGACCGTTCTAGGCGGAACTGCTTATGTATCGAATAAGATATTCAACGCAAGTAATTTTCTTATGGTCGCTTCTCAGGCGAACCACCCCCTTCTTCGCTAACCCCCTCGCTAACTCACTTATACTTTGAGTTTTTGCCTCTATCGGTCGCAGGGTGTTCGGACGAGGGTGAAACATATTGCTTGCAACTGTCACCCGCGGTCTGCTCTTCTTCTTCGTCGCCGTCGTCGTCGCCCTCGATGTGGTCGATCACTGTATTTTTAACCGATAACACTTCGCACTTCTTTCTCATGTTCTATTGTACTGTGACGTCATCTTGCATAGAATTAATGTATTTTTTTTTCCAACGTCTATATCTTGGAAAATAATAAATGTTTTCTACAAATTCAACTTTTAAAAATCTATCGTGAAATATATATCTAAATATAGGATGATACGATAAAATACTAAAATATAATATTTGCAAAAAGAGAGCGTAATGCATTTTATGTTTTTATTATCAATGAAAAAAATATTTGCAAATATTATTGTATATAAAGAACATATTATAATTACGAAGATTAATAATGCATCTGTAACGGATTCCCTTTCAACATTCTTACCATACCATTCGATTTGCGGTTAAAATAAGATAAGCTAATAATAAGAGGAAATGACAAGTGTACACCGAGTCGAGTATTTCCTATCTACGGAAACGACGTTTCTTTCAATGCAACAGTCTATATACAGAGCTTAAAATACTCTACCGTGTGCTATTATAGTACCTCTGAATCGATTCTCTTATTTTATATATATAGTATATATATATATAGACGAGCGATATTCGTTTAGACGGCACAGATCGCTAAGATGAATTGTTGTCTTTTTATTACAGACGGTGTATCGGAGAATTGAGGCCACGGAAATCGAGACGAGGGAGCGAGGGGCACTTAGCCCTTTGGCGAGCTCGAAGGATGCAGCTCCCAGGCGGGAGCACGAGAATTCCGCCCGCGAGAATACCGGCTTTCCTTCTGGTTATCATCAACGGGAACAACATCGCAACAATCACCGGGAATAAACGCATCGGTAGCAACAGCGGCGGTCCCGGTTGCAACAATAACCGTAGCAGAAGTAGTAAGAAGCACGACAGCAGCGGATACAGACCCGATAACGAATCGAATCTTCCGAAGAAGACCCGCCATCTCGAGACGAGGGCGAACGGCCGACATCAAGTCACCGAGCAGCAGCCTCAGCCGTTGGCGTCAGCTCTACGGCGGAAGGTGCGGGGCGAGGAATAGTGAAAAGAAAGCACAGAAAAAGCGAGGAACGACGGAAGAAGAAGAAGAGGAAGCGCGAGAGAAGGAGAAGAAGGAGAGGAGGAAGCAGGAGTTCGCCGGGAAAGAGAAGGGTGCCGGCGTCGTCGTCGTTGGCGGCGGCGGCGGAAAAAGCAGAGGAGGCGGCGGAAGAGGAGGAGGAGGCGGTGGCGGCGAAGACGAGGGAAAAGAAAGAGGAGGAGAAGAAGACCGAGAAGGAGACGGCAAAGGCAAAGGAAGTGGAGAGGCGGTGGTGGTCGGTGGCGGACAAGGTGGGGAGCATTAGAAGAAGGAATACATAGAGAAAAGGCAGCTGTAGTAGGGGTACCGGAGAGACTACACAGTGTGCAGAAGCTGAGGCAGCGCACTGAGCCACGAGGGGCTATTCGAGCGAGAAGGGGAGGGTGACAAGAAGCACTGGCGGGGAGGGGACGCGGAGGCCTTCGGGGGGCCGACCAACCAGACGGCCGATGATGTCATCGGAGGAGGAGACCGAGTGTTTCGCCCTCTACGGAGCAACCACGGAAAGCAAGCAACAGCAACTCCTGAAGAAGCAGAAGCGCACCAGACAGCGCGTGGACGCCGGCGAGCCGCGCAACAGCTACTCGAGTATACCGAACTTTAGCTCCCGGCCATCCTTCCTCGGTGGTGGTCTATACGGCTCGATCTTCAGTGGTAGTGGACCACCGTCGCATCAACAATCGCCGCAACAGCAGCAGCAACCGCAGCAGCACCACCAGTCACAATCGCAACAACAACAACAACAACAACAACAGCTCCAGCAGCAACAGGCTGGAGCGGCTGGCAGCCAAAGTCATTTAGGTACAGCTACGACGGGTCCTACAACCCAGCAGCATTCCGCCCACGCGGCCTTCGGCTTCTTCGGGGCTCCGGGCTTCGGCCCCGCCAAGATGCTGAACGAGTTATTAGGAAGGCAGGTCAAACAAGCCAGTGACGCTGGCGGATCACCGCCAGAGGGCGGTCACGGGATGACCGGTGCCGGCATGGATTCCGCCTCGAATTTGCAACCGGGCGCCGTGGTTAATTGCGATGATCCTGCTACGGCCGACCTCACGCAGCACATGTTACGCGACATGCTTCTGCAGGGCCGCAAACTCTCCGCTCTCGGCGTGCAGGAGCAGCCGAACAATAACAACAGTATACATAATAACAACAATAATAATACTACCGCGGAATTACTTAAATCACAGCATCAGCAGAGTCCCCAACAGCATCAGCAGCAAAATAGTGATAGTGCGCGCAGTGGAACAGTGCAGAGTGGCGGGGAGGAGAGTGGTGATGGTAATAACGTCGTGAATAGCGCGAATCACAGTGATCGTGATACCGTGATGCCGGGCGATGATGAGGACAGCGCTGAGGATGCTGCTTCCGCGGCACGCGCGATGGAGGAGGCCTTTGCCGAAGCCGGTATGGAACCAGGGGCGAACTTGGATGGATCGGATTGCGAGCAGAGCCTACCTCCTAGCCCAACGGCACCAAGATCGGGCTCGGTCTCCGTTAAAGAAGAGATACAAGAGTCGATGAATATCAAACGTAGCCCCAGTCACTCTCCTTGTCCGATCGTGCCAAAAACCGAAACGAACTCTCCAACGACAGAGATTAAACGCGCTCGTGTGGAGAACATCGTCAGCACGATGCGCAGTAGTCCAGCGCTTCAGCCGGCAACGGTAAACGGTTGCAAGAAGCGCAAGCTCTATCAACCTCAGCAACAGACGGTGCATCACGTTCTTCAGCATAGTGTCAATGATACCATGATGGACGACGAAGACGAGAGCGAAGAGGAGGAGGATCCGGCGACGATCAGACAGAAACGGGAGGAGAAAGATAATTTGAAGATACAATTAAAAATGTTGCACGAGCAATTGGCGGAAATGCAACAAAAATACATGGAACTCTCCAGTAGAATGGAGCCAGATACAAGTGAGAGCGGTGACGCGCCACCCAGTCCTCCACCTCAACCACAACCACCACCAAGACCGCCACGACCTCATCCACCGCCGTACACCAACGGCCTCCCGACTCTCCCACCCGATCACCCCCACGCAGCAGCTGCTGCTATGTATCACATGGGGCATAAACTTTACTTTGAACAACAACACGCTGCCCTCGAGAGAATGAAACAACATCAAGAAGCGGCTGTGCGGCAGCAGCAGCAGCAACAGCAGCAGCAGCAGCAGCAGCAGCAGCAGCAGCAGCAGCAGCAGCAGCAGCAGCAGCAGCAGCAACATCAACGACAAAGTTCGCCACCGCCACCAAGCCAACCTCAGCAACAGAGCCAAAACAATACTGGACCTTCGACGCCGCAGACGCCGCAAATGCAATCAGCCAGTACGCCTATTCAACATAAAGACTTCCAGGAAAGGTTAAACGTCTTCAGGGGTGCCGCTGCAGCAGCCAGCTCGTCCGGTCCTCATATCACCGGAGCCGATTTGGAAGGCTTGGCGGATATCTTGAAGACGGAAATAACTTCTTCTTTAACCAATTTGATTGACAGCATAGTAGCAAGGTTCGTGCAACAGAGGAGGTTTCTCGGTAAGCAAACCGAGGCAGCGCAGGCTGCTGCCGAGCAGCTCAATAAGGACCTTCTTTTGGCGAGCCAAATGCTCGAAAGAAAATCGCCCAGGACGAAAGTAGTTGACAGAGGAGCTCCACAACCACCCGGTGGCCCAAACGGGCCACGGGGGCCCCTCAACAGTGGGCCCCCTCCTCCACAACCCACGGGGTTTTCACAAATCGGGTCCATAGGTGGTGTACCCCATGGCCCTCATACTGGCCCCACGGAAAACAATCTTAACCAGATGAATCAGCTGCCCTCGCACGCAAGGCCGAGCGTTGGAATGTTTCAGACTCCAAAACCGCCGACGATATACGCTATGGCATCCATGCAAGCGCAGCAACAACAACAACACCAACAGCAACATCAGCAACAACGCGAGCAGCAACAAAGGGAGCAACAACAACGCGACCAATACTGCAATATGAGAGGTGACGAGAGAGAAAACAGGGACTCGGAACAAAATGAAGCTCTGTCACTTGTCATGACGCCGAAGAAAAAACGTCATAAGGTAAGCATTACAATTTGTCAGATTGAATATATTGATATAAGTTAATATGAATTAGTGTACTTAGAATTACGAGAATATTAATATAAACTGATATATTTTTAATTTTATAATTTTAATATGTATAAATGTATATATGTATAAATTGTACAAATTTTTACATATATAAAAAAGATATTAACTTCAAGTCATTCATAATATTCGAATAATGTTATGTAAATTGAAGTCAATGAAATCACAGGGAAAGAATTATAAACAATTACGATACAAATTTGAACCGATGAGAATAAATATAATTAAATACGAAAAATTATATCAAATTTTAGTGCTTAAATTTACTGTGCGAAATTTGCTGTAAGATTATATACATATATGATTCTGCAATCGCGCTTCGAAATCTTCTGCATTATTAATACTCTTATAAAGATGTTTATATAATAGCATAAAAAATTCTTAAATCACTTGTCAATTTAATAAGTGACATTACTACTCTGATTCCGTTCATGATTGGATTTCAAATTTGAAAAAGATTTAAGCATGGAATTATTTAAGTGCTATGTGCGTTCCGTTTTGAGCGAATATAAGATTTATGTTCTTTAATTTGAAAAAATATTATAATCTAAATTTTTATTATTTATATTTTTTATATGTTTTTATAAAATAGTTATAAGTAAAATTAATTTATATTAATTATGTGAAATTGATAAAAAAAGTCTAACTAAAAAAAATACTAATTAGTACGGTTTACAGGTGACGGATACGAGAATTACTCCGAGAACGGTATCCAGAATCCTAGCGCAGGAAGGAAACGGATCTCAAGGAGGTAGTGATAGTCCCCCGCCTCCTCCACCACCGAGACCTTACCATGCGCCACCACCGATGCTGCCGGTGTCCCTGCCAACCAGCGTAGCGATACCAAATCCAAGTCTCCACGAGAGTCAAGTGTTCTCGCCCTATTCGCCGTTTTTCAATCCTCACGCGAGTCATCCTGGTCAAGTACCACCTCCGGGGCCACATCATTTACCCGCGAGTCCTCCGGGTGGAGGTGTAGAACTCAGGGATTCCCCTCCACTGCCCCATCCGCCAGCTATGTTGCATCCAGCCTTGTTGGCGGCAGCCCAGCACGGCAGTCCGGACTACGGACACCTTAGGATGGACAGCAACGACCGAGCTAGCGACTGTAATTCCGGCGACATCAGCTACGATGGAATTCAGCCTACAATATCCTTTACTAATACTTATATGCTAAAGAGCAAATTTAATAATAATACTCTGCATTTTATAGAATTTTATTAAATTCTACAAAATTTTATAAACATTTCTTCAGATAATATTTATAAGAATTTTGATATATATTTATTATGATCAAAACGTAAGACAAAATGGACATTAATCTCATTCATGTATAGAAAATATTACTATTTAAAATGAAAATATTATCTGTTAAAATGAAAAATGTTATCTGAAGATTAATTCGTGTGTTAAAAAGAATTTAGAAATACTAGAGAAAACAGTTAAGATACTCAGAGATATTTTTTGACATAGAGGAGAAACGAAACTCGCGCGCGAAAAGTTTAGAATGTAGCGGTGAGTTTTTTGAGAGAGAGAAAAAGCCGGCAAAATGGCTCGCTCGCTTGTAAGGTGGCTGGAGTGAGTGAGGAAGCTCGGACGAATGTTAGATTAGTTTAGTACGGAGTTAGGCTAATGTTGGCTGCACCTACGAGTAGAGTTTGTCCAGCAACAACGCACCGAACCAAAAGTTCTTTACCTACCTCGGCCCACCCTCGGCCTGCAGTCTCACCCAACTTCGCAAGCCAATAATCTGTCCCGCAATTTCGCAATTCAGCCTGAGCATTTCGCGAACTTTACATTTCGGACGTCTCCTCGGTTTATCCTAGCTAAGCTACTTTTGCTGATCTCAATGATATGAGCCTTTGTAAAGCTAAATTTCTAAGCATCGACTTTTGTCTGCAATTTTTCATCTTATCTTCCGATGTGTGCGAGAAAGATGTTTCATTCATCATATTTATATCGTCACATTTTAGTACGAAAATACTTGGTAGAGTATCATACATAATAGAACGAAAATATTATCAGAACTAAATTTAATCGAGTTTATTAAAAATAAATTTGCGATGTTTGACCAATTATACTTTTTGTTATTTTGCAGTAATTTATCGTAATTCTTAAATATTCATAAATAATGATAAATGTTTAATATATGTTTAATATACATGACATAATTAATAATAAAAATTTATAAATTAATATTTCAAAGAAGAGAGTTCGATATTTGCTGAATGATTTGAGTTATACATTATAAATTTGTAACAATTTAAAGGATCTCATATTTGTAAAATATCCGCGTGTCCAAATTTTATTAAAAAATGTTCTTGACCTTTTTCAGATTGATTAAAATAGCCGCGATTGCATCCGGTTAAAGTGCACTCTTAGGATCGTCAGAAAATGATCAGCGAACGGTTCACCAGCTTCGATTATCGTGCATGATCCACCCCGCCGCGGCTTGCTTCTGAGTTACCGAAAGAGCGTGCAGAAATCCGGTGGCTTGCGAATCGAGAGTTCGCCTCGGTGCAACGAGGAAAAAAAGGCGAGTGTCGCGCGGGTTCGTGTGAGCGCCGATCGTCCGATGCAATGTCGGAACTGCATCGGCGTGTTGGACCGGGTCGCTCGATCGGGTAGCGTGCCGTTCTTTGCCGCCTTTTTAGTCGGCCTTTGATGTAAAATCAATGGCGCATTTTTTTCACTCCCTCCTCTCTCTTGGGGTAGGTCGAGCGCGTTGTGCATCGCCGTGACACGATCTGCTGTTCCCGCGCTCCTCCGGACGCACCATCCTAGCCTCATCGCGGTTCTCGCTGGCATTTGATGCATCCGAATTCATTTTGTTGCCTACGCCCTCTTTCTCTTTGCTTTTTCCTTTTTTCGAAAAAATCCATTCCAAATTTTTTAGCTCGAGATTAATGTGAGATTATGTGCTGATATTTCACATTTATAATATCGATTATAAGCTTACACGTTTTGAATAAATTAAATTGAAAGTGCAGCATGGCATAGCAGAGTCGCGCGAATTAATCGAATAAGATTGCGATGAAACCACATGTAGAGATCCTATTACCAATAAGAAGTCAGTAAGGCTTCTGCTGAGGATACGGCCAATCGTAGATCAACTTCCCAGTAAGAACCCTTCTATCATCTACCCTTGCGATAATCGCAATTTGTACGATTTCTGATCCGATTCGATACGAAAGAAAACACGATTATATTTGAGATATTCGGACGTTCGAGAAACGAGTCAACTTTCTCTCCCGCATTTTTCTCTTTTAGCTTAATTCTTTTTTTTTTATCGCCAGAGTGGAGTTTAACTCTCCTTCTTCACATTTCTCATATATTTCTAAGTGTTTATATATATATATTCATATACATTGCAAAATGGTATTTTCTTAACCGCGGTGAACTCGTCGACGCTGACGCCGATGCATCTGAGGAAGGCGAAGCTGATGTTCTTCTGGGTCAGGTACCCATCCTCGGCCGTCCTTAAGATGTACTTCCCCGACATCAAGTTTAATAAAAACAATACAGCGCAGCTGGTCAAGTGGTTCTCCAACTTCCGGTGAGTAATGTATTTGTGTTATTTTGAATTTGTAATAACAACATAGCAAGCAGTCTTTCGAAATTGCGCATCATTTTACGCGAGCGACTCGTTTCTTCATCAATATTTTACAGTTCTCGTTTTAAAATGGCGTATACGAAAAATAAAAAATCTTAAAAATATCTCATCACGAAATACGTTCGTATTCAGGAGAGGTATTTTTGTAGACACTTTAATGTTTGAATAAACGAATATATTAAAGCGCATTGATAGAAAAGGAAGCGATTCTTCTAAACCTAAATTATTTATCTATCTAGATTTAAATCTTTATGTATGCGATTGATTCGCGAACATTCGGTTTTAAATCGAGGATTGCTTTCGGTGCTGTTGAACGGATAACTAAATTCACAAGAACGAGCGGAACGATCATGTAGAAAATCTCAAGGATTTGGCGGACAGTCGTGTCGCCACACCCCTACATAATCTCGAACATTTTCGACCTCGTGCGGTACTACCTGGAAAGAATGAAATCGTGGAAGACGTTTCTGATAACAGAGGCGCGTTTCGTGTATGCAAACGAGAACGAGGTTTTCGAGGGATCGACCACTCCCTTTGCAGAAGCGGTCAGAGCCCAAGAGACGAGAGTCACGATGGGTGTGTCCGAATCTTAATTACCCTCTCTCGTAGAGCAGCTGGGGATAAGTAACGCTACCTACATAGCATCAGGTATAGAAGCGTAGGAGGCCGGTAGGTACCGACGCATACTGTCCGGCAGGCATTAGCCTGATTATAATTAGGCTGAGTACAGTACAGATCCAAGATACAAGGCGGTCGAAGGCGGATCGCGCGCGTGCCCTCGTCGTTACATTATTACCGCTTTCTTATCGCGAGATGTCCACTCTCGTGAAAATCGTAAGTCCTTCGCGCGGTGGCATCGTGTGCCGCTCTTATAATTACGGCACGGAGACCACGTGTCTGGGACACATACCCTAAATGAAAAATGCATACGCGATAAATAAAACGTTAACGAGCAAGCGCTTAGTTGTTCTGAGTAGTTGAGTTAATTACAATATCTTATATATATTGTATACCGTCAGCCTACTCGTCACTGAAGCGTTTCGAGAGCATCTTTTACCGCACTCTAATGTCATTTGGTTTTATGTAAACGCGGAACACGAATCATACGCTTGTACTAAGATAATCTCTCGGGCTAAGATAATCGAACGGGATCATACATATGAAATTGCGAAAACAAAAAATAAAAGGATTTTGTTCATTTCGATAACGACGGGAACATCGTTGTTAATTATCAGTCTATTGTTCCGTGTAACTTTATTCATTGGGCCTATCCAAAAAGAGTGGAATCGCTGATAAAAGAGCAAGCACGTAGTCTGTTTGTGAAACTTCCAAATGTCCGGCGAAATTGCACGCTCGTATTTCGCGGTACGCACAAAGCTAATTACCGCTTCAACATATCTCGGTACATTTGGTCCGAGGGTTTTTTTTTTGCCTTCTCGCTATTCCATCCACATATCCTCTCCAAAGTCTTTCTTAATGAAATTTGTTATGTCTTTCACTTTGAAACTCCCTGTAAAGTAAAATTTTCTTAAGCAACCCGAATAATTGCTTCTTTATTAAATCAAAAATCCAAAATCCAAAAAAATCATACGATTTGAATGGTATGTCGAATAGCGCTGTGTGACTTGCTTGCATCGATATATTACAACTGTGAACATGCTTTTTAAATATATATATATA